TGAATGCAAGCTTCTGATTACTGCGTTGTGCCAAGGATGATTGCACGTATGGTTGGATCTTGACGAAGACCAGATCACCAATCTGGAACTGACGTTCTGATCGGTGCTCATCAGCTTGCCTCTTCATGCGTTGTTTAGCTCGGTTCAGATGCTGGTGAATGACATCGGTCATCAGAGCACGATCAGAAAACCAATTAGCCAGGTCGGTGATGGGTGTGTCTGGAGAAGTGGCAATGCCGAAATGACGTGGTGCATAACCATACAACACTTCAAAAGGAGAACGCCCCAAAGCAGAATGTCAATTGGTGTTATACCAAAACTCGGACTGATCCAACCATTGTCGCCACTGATGAGGGCAGGCGTGCACGAAGCAACGCAAGAACGTCTCAACACGCTGATTGACCCGTTCGGTTTAACCATCCGATTGCGGGTGGTAAGAGGTGCTCATCCGTAGCTCAACTCCTGTCAACTGAAACAGCTAACGCCAGAAATGACTTGTAAAGACTTTGTCACAATTCGAGACAATGGCTTGCGGCATACCGCAACACTTTGTTCACACCTGAGAGAGAAAAGGATTCAGCAACCTTTTGAGATGCCAAAGTGCTAAAAGGATGTTTGAGAGCCAAGAAGTGAGCATACTTGGAAAAAAGAGATCAACTATCACCAATATGCAGTTAGAACCCCCTGATGATGGAAGCTCTTCAATAAAATCCATGGATATAATAGACCGCTTTGTGCAAAGTGACATTTAGACAATGGTTGCAAGAGGCCGGGCAGCTTGGTACGGTCAGGCTTAGCTTGTTGGCGATATGTTCAGCAATATGACAAAAGATTGAACTGATCGATTTCATGCTACCACACAAAGATTTGTTTCAAACGCGATATGTGACCTGTTCATGCCTTGAGTGTCCACCGACAAGACCAGAGTGCACCGTCAGAATCGTAATGAGTCTCGCAACTTTGAAAGCGATTTTGAACTCAAGACCACCGTGATCTGATATCGGAACTTGTAACAAGAAACCAAGATGCATCACGAAGAGAGAAGTTGGGTACCGAATCCGGGGAAACGGCCAGCTTGGCAAGCAATTCTTGCACTCAAGCATCTTGAGAGTATGAAGCCACCACTGCCTCCAGCCACTGGGCTTGACAAACTGACACGGCAACCAAATGTGCAGGAGGACAACATGAGAGAGCGTCAGCAGCGCCATTGTCCGAGCCTTTATGGTACACAATTTGATATTGCAGGCCAATGAGCTTTGTAAAGACTTTTTGCTGTCATAGCGTGTGAAGCCTTTGTTCTGTTAACTGCACCAGGCTACGATGATCGGTGATGATCTAAAACTCGGCATGTTGCAGATAACTGCGCCAGTGCTCTAGTGCCAGCAAGATCACCATATACTCTTTCTCGTACGTGGATAATCCTTGCGAGTGGGGTCCTAAGGCTTTGGTCATAAATGCCAAAGGATGCCCCCTTGCATAAGCACTTCACCAATTCCAGCAGACCAAGACAACATCAATTTGAATAACCAAAAGGACGCCATCGAAATCTGGCATGTAACGCCGGGCGGTTGTTAGTAGATACTCCAGAGACTAGTGCGACAAAAGTGAGAAGGCCTTGTCCACGGATATCCGAGCACACATAAACTGTACCTTTGCGAAGAAGATTCGTCAAGGGTTTTGAGATGATGCCAAAGTGCTTAACAAAGCGTCTGTGGTAGCCCGCTAGGCCCAAGAAGTCCCGTGGTAATGCTTTTTACATGAACATTTGTGAACATGCCATTTCAAGACAACATTAATCTTATCTCGGGGTTGGTGGCCACACCATCCTCCTCAGATAACATGCCCCAAATAACGTTAGGCATAGTTTTGTGCAAAGTGACATTTAGACATCTTAACTTGCCACCGATCTTGGGACCTGCGGTGCCGCTTTGGCAAGTAATCGAAAGACCAACCGCAAATGCTCAACATGTTCTTCATATGAACGATTGAAAATGAGGATGTCGTCGTCAACAAATCGACTAGCACACACTTGCACAACAGAGGGTGTAGTGCTCAACTAACCCAATGTTCATAGCCTCAAATACGTTGCGAGACTCCGGTGAGACCAAAATAGCCATGACACGAAACTCGTAATGCCCGGTGAGTTTGAAAAGCGACAAAAAAGAACTCTTCCCGCTCTTCAAGAAACCGTGTCGATGGTATCCGGCTGTCATGATCAAGACAAGAAAACCAAGATGCATGTGAGGCCATCGAGGTGCTCTTCAATGAATCAAACAATGACAGCCACATTTTGGGTTTAGCCATCAAATGGTGAAGTTCTTTTATGATTGCATTGAGTTCCCCCCCATCCAATTGCGATCAAAACCCCATCTCCATGCCAAGTGCGACGCTTTCTTCTTGACCCCACAAAACCACGAACACCCACCATGAGAGCGGAACTAGAACTAAGGATCTTGGGTTTAGGGTGATTAGCGGAATGATTGCAACATTTCCGGGATTGAGTTGCTCAATTTCGTCCTTGATCAATGGAGGATAAATTTGGTCCAGGGTGTCATCAAAAATGGAGGCGGGCACCATGTATTAATGGAATTGCATGGTCACAATCACGTGCCAGCGGATAGCCAGCCGGAGGAGCAAAGATAGACCCACCTCCGCAGCAAATCCTCCACGCTGCATCTTTCAGGCGGTACAGGCGGCGTCCTCCGTGGACGAGCTACGCGCTGTCGTCATTCTCCACCAAATCCATGCGCGGTGAACATGAATGATTGGAGTTCGCCGAGGATGAGCTTGATCGCCAGATCACCTTGCAAGAAACTGTGGCCTTGAAGTGATCGTGGAAGATCTCGTGGGGCTCCAGTGGAATTCTCCGGCGATCGTCTTCTGCGCCGACCCAATCTACCTAGCTGGACTTATGAGTTCACGCACCCGACGCCGAGGCGGAGGGCGGCGATCAATCAGACGTCAAGAATTATGATTGTCGATCAAGGCGCAAAAATGCGAGCGAACAGTCGAGGAACACAGCTCTGAATACCAATTTGTTATGTTCTCAGCCAGGATTCATGGATTTCAGAACAACAATCATACAGAGTTTAGGTTAGTAGCAGTGAACGGAATAGAGGAAGGAAAGCAAATCACAAGGTTGGAATCAGAGGAGTGTTTGCAGGAGAAGGCAAGGTGTTTGTTACAATATTCATCAATGATGCCTCTTTCCTCACACCATTACATATTTATGCCAATGCCAGCTACTTGCTCACACCGTGGTCCATTCCTCCCCTGTGATGCGCTGGTTGGGCAACTTGGGCCTGCTGGACCTTCGCAGTTGCGGCCTAGAGTCCTGCGCTCCTTCTTCAGACTCCTGTGCCGGACGCGGAACAGTAGACGGTCCGGTCGTAACATAAAATTGGGTGGACCCTGGTCCATGCCATCTCCCGTGCGCCCCTAGCCCCGATAGGTGACGCGTGTCACAGAACAAAATCGCAGGTCTCGGAAGGGGTGGCTTCTTGCGTACGCACACGGCTCGGCTGAGTTGGCTCCGCGTCTTTCTCTTCCAAGACAGTTTAGGCACCAAAATCAATCCTCCTCCTCTTGCCATCTCTGCTACCGACGAGCGCCGCCGGCTAAGCCGCAAGCACCACTGCTGCTGCGCCCCACGGCAAGATCAGAGCCCCCATCCGCGAATCGTCCGTCCGAGGCTGCGAGCGTGAAAAGGCCAGTGGAGAAGACGAAGTAGCTGTTCCGCTGGCCGCCGTGGCACACGACGTCGTGATTCTGAGCTCCTGTCGTCCTGCTGATGGGATGGCGCTAGCGATGTGTGCGACGCAGCCGGTGGTGCTCGTCGGCATCGAAGATGAGGAGCTGTGGAGGATTAATTTTGGAGCCTGACCAGGTCTTACTTAGGAGATGGAGGCACAGAGCCGAAGCTGAGCCAGCCGAGCCGTCCATACGCGAGGAGCCAAGGTGCAAGGTGCTGCCGAGGAGCCATCGCTCCCCGGACGTGGGATTTTGTTCCGCGACACGTGTCGGTTATCGGGGCTGGGGGCGCACGGGCGACAGCATGGACCCAGCGTCCACTCAATTTTCTTCCGGATTTTGGACCTGCGTGCGTACTGCCAGTAGCTTCCGTGGTTTTCCGTAGGATCCTACCTGGACTCCGACGAAGCATTAAGAAATGTCTTTGCTACGCTGTAGTGCATCTTTCCAGCTACGATGTTCAGTTTGATGCATCTTTCCAGCGAGTTTTTTTTTATCTGTGTTCCCTTGAAAGATTTGATGTGATGGAGAGAGAGAAAAAACTTGAAATGATGGATGGAAATTGGAATGGAACAAGTGTGGACCAGTTGTAATTGTAACGACGGCATGCATGTGAATCACGATGATGAGGCGTTCCCTAGCACACGTCTCCTACCCAACGAGGGGGATTAGAACCAAGTCCACTTAAATGTCCACAAGCTGGCGTACACGGCTGCACGAGATTGGGATATAGAGACAGTAAAGTTATAGAAATCCATGGAGCCCACAGTATATCCCGTCGTAGGTCAAGTACTACAATCAATATTCCAAAGCCATAGCTCCTACCTGTTGGCTGTTGCTAAACGTCCTAATCCACCACGGTACCACCACCCAAACTCCCAAGTGGAGAAGATCATTCCAACGCTGAATAATCATGGCCACAAGCAAAATAAAAAGAAAGAAAAAAAAAGTCCGGGTCTCTCTGTCAAAACTGAAAACCATCGTGTGATATTCACAGCCGGCGCCTCATCCATCACAAAGCTTTGTAGAAGAAGAAAAAAAAAGATAAAGTCTTGTGTACAGCCTTTATCGCTCTCGGCGGAACTGTTGGGAGTTCACGTCAAAGGGTTCGTTCTATCGAACGGGTCAAGAAAAGCAGCGGGGTTTCTTCAATCTTCACACATTTCCGCTGAATCTCCCACCGCGATGATGAGAGGCCCCGTCGCCGGCGGCCCTCCCACGGCACCCGCCGAGCGCGCGGAAGTCAATCGTCATTCGTGGCCGCGGAGTTCGGCGGATAGCTGACCGGCCGTCCAGGTCAGCTGCGCGAGCTCCGCGAGGTGGTCGCGCAGGCCGTCAGCCAGCAGCATCAGCAGCTCCCTGCAGTCTGCAGCGCAATCATTCCCGTCAGTTACTTGCCACCATCATCGATCTCGTGGCTAGCTTAATGGAGGATGGTCCACTACCACCACCGCGATCAGGTAATTGCCGATGGCTTCGGGCAAGCAAGAACGAGACGCCGACGTGACAGAAAAAGAGAGGGAGGCCGTAACCTGGGATTCTGCTAAAGTTGTGCAGCGACACGGCCGCGAGGACCCTGTGCCGGGCGGGCCGGCCGGGCGCCAGGCACTGCTTCAGCCGCGGGACGAGCGCCGAGAACGCGGCGAGGGACGTGTCCATGGCGCCGTCCTCGTCCACAGACGAAGCCAGCGCGCGGCTCAGCCACCCGGCCGTCGTCAGGCACGCGCCCACCAGGTCGGCGTCGGGGGAGCCCAGGCACTTGGACAGCGCCTCCAGGAACGGTCTCCTGATCCCGATGCTGCTGCCGAGGAGCGCCGCCGCCACGTGTCTCAGCCATGCATCGTTTTCGGACGATTCCTTGTCCTGAGCGCACCGCAAAGCGAACTTCAGAAACTATTCATTGGTATTTGGTAATGTTCGGTTTGTAAAGGTGGTCAGGTGTGCAGTACGTGTATGACAGCGTCAGAACTGGCAGCAGTGTCCCGTGAGTGGTCGATGAAGCCGGCCTGTTTCAGCATCCAGTCCTCTGCGAGAAGGTCGCCTGAGAAGGTGAAGTGCCCTCCCAACAGCAGCAGAGCTCTCCGAGTGCTGGGCACGACATTATTGTCCTCTGACAGGCAGCATCTCAGAGAATGTGTGATGATCTTGGTCGCCTCTTCTCTGTACGTGCTGTTTCTGTTTGTCTCCACCTGCAATGCATTCAGGTTACAGATTTGTGCGGACTAAATTCCAGGCGATTTCTGAGGCTAGCTAACGAAATACCATTTCAGGGAAGTGGAAATGTAAGCGTACGACAACAATAGGTGCTGGGTTGCATACCAATTCATCCAAACGCAACAGTAGAACGGCAATTGGGGCTTGTTCTTCTACCGGCAAGCTCCGGAGATACTCCAGTAGCACATCCATTGCCTCCATGATCGTCTCTGCTCTCAATCCATGCAGGAGCAATTCAAACATTTCTCTCCTGTTCGCAATCAGAATGTTGGTGATCGGAAGGTAAGATGCAGCACATATACATGTACAAAATATGTTTTATCACATCTTTTTTTTTAAAAAAAAGATTCTGAAGGAAATTTCACCTTCTTAAGCAGATCAGTTCAATGAGCAAACCCACTGCAGTTCTTCTTACTGAAAGCACTTCACTGTGGAGAAGCCGCAGAACACTTGAGCCATCGATCTTTATAGCCACGTAATTCCTGCAGCTGCCTTCAGCCCTGATGCAAAGCAACAGGTGCTCAGCTACCCGCGGCTGCTCATCTCCCCCACCTTCCTGAAACTTATGCAGAAGGAAGTCTATCCCGCCGATCGCCATAAGGTGCCTTGCCTTGTCAAGTTTTTCAGGCATGTCTTCAGCTGAATCCAGAGCCTTGTCTATTAATGGCAAAGTTAACTTCACATCAAACCCAGCGCTTTCGGATACCAGATGCTTGCAATGTTCAGATTTCCAGCTATCGATCAAGCGTTTGAGCACACGGTTCGTGTCTGGAACCATCATGCTCGAGAGCTCTTGGCCTGTAACCGGGCACATTCTGAAGCTTCTGTCTAGCCACTGAACTATAGCGTGCCGCTCGAACGTCTGGCCTGTCTCGATCGTCACGGGATTGTTGAAGACCTGGCGCGTCAGTGGACACAGGAAGTCGCTGGGAACCGTGGCGAAAATGGATAGGTCATTGCCATCTATGTCACTCTGGAGTGGCACTTCACTGAGGAACTTACAAGAAATCACAGCGATCAGTACAGATTGGAGGGTAGTCGAAGGGAAGGGAAGGGAATGGTGCTCGTACCAGAACTCGACTGTAAGAAGGTGAATAGCAGAGTTGTCCGAAATCGTCGGGTAACTTGCTGACGCATCTGATTCCTTGTTGGGTTCTTCTTCGACCTATGAATATGATTGTGAGATGTAATTTGTCATAAACTTTGGTGTATTTCGTGTGAATAAGCATGCTGGAATATTTCCGGGGAAAATGCTTACATGTGGTTCGAACGTCTCTCTGTCTAAACTGTCAGGCACGGGCACGGGCACGTTTTCTTCTGCCAACAGAGCGGGAATGTAGCTCCTTTCCTCACCTCCAGCTCCATCGCTCTCCTGGTCCGGGAGCATGGTCACCGCGTCTGCGGCGGCGTCGGAGTACACCGCTTCTTCCTCCTCGATTTCCTCGGATGGCCGCATTGTGTCGTCGTACGCGAACTTCGTCGGACTCGAACTCCCGGAGCCGAACATGACTTCCGAGCTGATGTCGTACGACGTCGACGCTGAGCACCTCGGCGCGCTGGCATGGACCGTGCTCGGAGGAGCAGGAACGTCCGGGAGAGCCATGGCATCTGTCCGCCCCAGCAGCCAGTCCCTGTAGTAGCACGCGAGCGCGCGCGTCCCCTCGTCCAGTACGTCCACGAACACCTTCTCCACCTCCTTCACCCTTTCGTCCGCGCTCGCCGCCGCTGACTCGCGGTCGCGCCACGTCCTGAGGTGCGAGAGTCCCGACCGGAAGAGCCTGTCCCAGAGCGCGGGCAGCAGGACCGTCCGCGCCTCGCGCGGCGCCAGGCAGAAGGTCTCCAGGGCGTGCACCGCGGCGGAGTGGTCCCGCTTCTGCAGCTTGGAGACGGCGGCCATGTAGAGGTGCGCGCACGCGGCGAGGCGCGCGTAGGGAACGCCCGCCGCCGCGGTCACCGCGTCCGCGTCCTTGCCCTGGAGCGACGCCATCTCGTGGAGCTTGAGCGACGCGCGCTTCAGGTCGCGCGGGTCCAGGCCCTCTGTCGCGGCCCGCTCGACGGTCTGCGCGTGCACGCGGAGGTCCAGCACGGCGCGGTGGTTGGAGTCGCCGAGGCACGAGGCGCAGCCGGCGCGCAGCGAGGCGCGGAACGCCTCGTCCTTGGCGAACCGCTTCAGGGGTCCCGCGGCCAGGGAGATGAGCGCGGTGAGCGCGGACTCGTCGAGCGCCGGCACCGCGGAAGGGTCAGACGCAGAGCCTCTCCTGGCACCGGCGCCCGAGCCGCTGTTGTCGCCGTCTCCCTTGTTGCTGTGCCTCCTCGCGCTCGTCAGCGACGCCGACGACCCGCGCGTCTCGGTCGCGGCACGCCGCCGCTCGGCACCGGTGGCCCTGCTGCCATCGTCCGCGTCGGCGTTCATCTGCCTCAGGCGGCTGCGGGTGAGCACATCGGACTGTGACCGCGACGGCGGCTTGCCCGGGCGCCGGTGCTGGAGTGGCATGCTCGCGGCTCTCGAGGCCGCCGGGGCGGAGCTGTCGGGCGGCTTGTGACGGTTCTTGAAGCCGTCAGCTGCGAGGAGCTCTCGGAGCAAGGACGACGGAGGCGGCGCCATTGTCGTGGACGCAGCGGGTGACGTGACCGAATCAACCAGGAGCTGGCTCTGCTACGCGGTACGCCTCGTGGTGGCAGTGGGGTAGCGGCAGAATCCTCGGTTGTTCTCATCATACGTGACAGGGCGACGTGGTGAAATGCGCGAAGGGGGCAGCGGGAAACGGTCTCGCGGGACAGAGTGTGCCAAATGGGGGATTTTGGCGGGCAGCGCGTCGCCCCGGCTGGCCGGCAGAGTTTTATGATTTTCTGGTTCGGCTGGTGCGTAGGCTATTGGTTGAGTTTTTCTGACCCTATCAAGGTTGCTGCGTCAAAGTGTGTGTGCGTCAGTGGCCGTCAGTCTGTCACGTCTAGGATCAAATTGTGATGTGATCACCGTCCCTATCCCAATGGCGTTCACAGACAGGAGTATTGTGTAGTTTGCTTATTTTTCAGGCAACGCTAGTGTGGTCTTATGGAAGGTATCTTGTGAAAGATGATGTCGAATATTGGAGACTTTGGTGATTGGATAATGTCCGTCGAATAATCCAAGGGATGAATGATCCAAGCAAGGGATGATGATATGCACAAGATCTAGATTCAGAATGAGTTAAATGTACCGGTGGTCTATTAACCTGTGAGTGGGTTTCAGTTAGATCCATCAACTTTGAAAGTGGATTTTTAGGTCCATAAACTTTTTATATCGTATCACTTAGGTCCATACACTCCACGTGGGCTTCTTATGCTCACGTGGCTTACTGACTTGTTCATTTTGCAGCAGCTCTTGGCCAGTGTATTTCGTCAAACAGGTTGTGGGCACAACCAGCGCCACTACCTGTTCGAACCCATGGACGATCGGCTGCGTCGCGATGCTTAGGGCGAGAAAGAGCGTGGCCGCTGCGTTGCTCTACCTCGTCCTGGACGGTCGTTGCTCAACCAGCAGGGCCGACTTCTTCGCATGCCTGTCGCTGCCGCCGTGCCCTGCTGATGCGCACGCCGTCGCCGAAGCCCACCCTGCTGGTGTGCTCTCCCATCACCATGACCCTGCGACCGTCGCAAGCCTGCCCAGCTGACGCGTGTGCTCGACCTTGTCATCAATGTCCTTGCCACGAGGACGCCGGCTCCAGTGAGCTGCCTCGAGCACATGGCCTCGCACGCCCAATCCGCGCGGGCGATGACCAGCAGCATGCCGAACTAGAGGTTGATGCTAGCGGCGGCCTTGGGCCTAGCGCTGCCGCACAGCACACCACAGCCCGTCGTGGAGAGCAAGGAGAGGATGAGGAAGCAGTCGGCATAGGAGCGCAGAAAGGACAGCGGCGCGTGCAGCTTAGGGGCGGACCACGACGTGGAGGGACGCCGAGGAAGGGCGCACTCACCGTGGCGCAGATGGCGATGCGCACTGTGCACAGCGCAGCAGCAATGGGACAGGCCGCTCATGCTTAGCGCTGTATGTATATCCTTTGGGCGCGCGTAGCCTGCCGAGCTGCATGTCGCGGAACATCTCCCGCACCACAAACGACGAGGGCAAGAAGGGACGCAATGTCTCCAGGACCACCGCGTGCGGCGTCCTCATCTTGGCGACCGCATCAAAGTCCAGCGTCACGTCGCCGTTACTGTCGCCGCAGATGTCGAGCACCTCGGCACGTGCGCGGTCCTGCCACTTCGGGTGCGCGCGCGAGGAGCATGAGGCACCACGTCGCGGTGACTCCGCTTGTCTCATGGCCTGCTGTCGATGATGGAGACCAGGAAGTCGCTTCCTAGTGCCGGCGCCGGCGCGCCGTCCCCGCCGCCGCCTTGCGCTCACTCGCCAGCTGCAGGACCTGATCTTGTGCGTGAGCTTCCAATCTCTTGAAGCAGCCGGTCAGAAAATCCTTGGCCTCCACTGACAGCCACGTGGGCGCCTCTGGCACGTCGTTCGTGTACCTGGTTAGCGTCGGACTCTGACCCGCACGTTCTGCACCAGGAACGCGAAGGCACTAGAGTGGATGCTCATTGTCCTCCTAGCTCCCACTCTGCGCTGCCAACACCTCTGATGTCGCGGACGCACGCGCGTTCAAGGCCAAGACGGTGCACTGGCGTTCGAACAGGTAGTGGTGTTTGTCATGCCCACAACCTGTTTGACGAAATGCTCTGGCCAAGAGCTGCTTTAGATGGACAAGTCAGCCAGCCATGTCAGCATGAGAAGCCCACATGGAGGATATGTACCTAAATGATACGACATAAAAAGTTTATAGATCCAAAAATCCACTTTCAAAGTTAATGGACCTAACTGAATCTTCCTTGTAAGTTACCACCGGTACATTTAACTCATTCAGAATTTATGATGCAGGTTTGGACTATCGAGTTTGACAAACTGCGCTCCCTTTCCGTATTTACTGCAACAGCGGTCATGCTGAGCTCCATGCTCACGTATGGGTCTCTGCCGCCCCGGACATTTCGCATTGTGGACCAATTGGCGCGAACTTGTGTTTTTTCTCTGTTATATAGAATGGTACGGAGTATATACTGACGCCGGTTCACCGGTATCCAAAGATTTTGATGTTGGCAGGAGTAGCAAACGTGATATCTGCACTAGTACCATTTACCGAATTAGAATTCGGTAACGAGAGCCTGTTTGAATGGGAGTTTTTTAAGACATTATCGGAGTGGCGAGAGCTCCACCTAAACATTTTTCATTGATACCGACAAGTCGAGGGATGGAGGGTGCTTGGCACCTATAAATTGTTCGGGACTAGGTCTCTAAGAAGTAACAAATGTGGAGGGTAGGAAGAGATAGGCTATTACAAACATGTCGCACCATTTATCGATAATCCATCTATCGTGCACCCTTAGGTAGCATGTAACATCCTAATGGGCCAAAGTGGGCCCAATCCAATCCAGTTGTGGGCCGGTGGTACTGTAGCAGAATGGGCCGGCTACTGTAACATTCGAACTCGGGGGTACTGTAGACCGAGCACTGTTCACCCCGAAAATGGGCCGTCCAGTTTCTGGGGTACCGTAGACCGAGAACCGCGAAAAACACTGCGCAACCAGTTTAGTACCATACTGGAAACTCTGAGATCGCCGGATCGACTTAAATACCAGGGCCAGGGACGCGTAGTAACCTTCGGTTAACCGTTTTGAACGAAGCGAGGACGAAAGTTCAAGCGGGTTGCTACGCGGGTCGGATCACTCCTAGGAAGAGTGGGCCGGGGCCATGTATGTCGGGACTGGACGTTACATAGCATTTGGTTGGGAGTCAAAGTGGAGCGAAACGGTCCCGTCTCTGATTTCTGGGACGGAACGACTCCATTTTCTATTTGACTAACAAGGGACGGGATCGACCTATTTTTATGTTTGGTTGAAAGGATAAATAAAATGGGATGGACGATGGATAGACACCGCAAAAAAAACCATGTAATCGTGGGTCTCATTTTTATTTTAGACGACCCCACCTGTCATCCTCAGTTTTTTCCTTTATTTTGTCTTCCTTATCTTCTCCTGACGCTGTGGTGCCCCTCTTTGGCCACGCCTCTCTTAGCGCTTCTAGCCGGAGATGGCCCGAGTCCGCATGTGCACCTGGCTGCCACGCTTGGAGCCATGGCCAAGCTCGCACGAAGGCTGGCCGGCTGGGCCGCTCACCTGTCTGGCTACCACGCTTAGTTGCTAGCCCGCTCGGCTGTCGCACCTTGCTGCCCGCCCGCCGTTGTAGTAGGTGACCACAGCCGAGCTCGTGGCGGGGGCTGGGGCCGGTCACGCCATGGCCTAGCTCATGACGAGGGTCCTGCGACGGGGCTGCCACCGAGCTCGTGTAGGGGAAGGAGGGCCCTTGCCGGGGTCATGGGGGCGAGGAGGCCGCCGCCGTGAAGGAAGGACCAGGCGATGCACGAAACGAGGAAGTAATGTCGCTCGCGCATCCATGCTCATCCCACTCCGTCCCACTGATTTTAGGGGATGGGGGCGTCCCTGCATCTCGAGGAATATTCCTCTCCGGAGTCATCCACGTCTTTGATATCTCAAAACCAAACACCGGATGAAATGGAATATTCCACCTGGTCCTCGTCCTGCCCCTAAACCAAACACTACCTTAATCGACAGCTCCAGAGACGTTAGGGCTCCTTGCAGGTGGGCAGAAGCCTGCCAGACTTGGTTGCAATTGGCTGAAAGACCACATCTGACATCGTGCTTATGGTTCCAGATGTGTCGGTACCATAGCAGGAGCATTGTTGATAGCAGTTTTAAGGGGACCTTCTTAGGTCGGGGCATCTCCTAGAGGCGAGCTAGTGTTAGGCGTTGTCTGCCAGCCAGATGCATCTTGACCGTAGACATCTAAAATTAAACGAAGGTATAGTTTAGATACATTTGTTTGACTCACAACTATGGATGAAAACGGTACGGATATTTATTCGACCGTCCGTTCGACCGAACAAATATGAACACTTATCTGGATAGTTACTCGGATATCCGGTTTTTTTTTCGGATACGGATACTAAAACGGGTATCTTAGGCGGATATCAAATACGGATGTAATATCATCGATATCCGGCGGATATCGGATAATCCGGATAAGTATCGGATATATCCGGATATTTAAAAACGGATATTATCCGGATATTTATTCAAAATTTAAAAATCATAAATTTGAACCATCCAAACTATCTCAAATGGAAAGTTGACCAAAACAACAATTGTAGATCTTGATGAGTTGAACAAACTTGGTATTCAAAACTTTTCAATTTGAAGTCATTTAGAGTTCATAATACTAGAGTCAAAGTGTTGTTTTTTTTTTTTGACCAAATTTGACTTGGTCAAACTTGCTCAAATGAGACACTAAATGACCTCAGATGAAAAAACTCTGAATACCAAGTTTGATCATCTCAGCAAGATCTACAATTGTTACGTAGCTCATTTTCCCATTTGAGAAAGTTTTATCAAACACTAGTCATAAATTCTTGAATCTCATATAGACTTTCTGAAACTATGTCACACACTTGTGAAATTTGAACTACATTTTGTTCAAACTTTCTCAAAATGAAAAATGACCTA